CTATTGCCATCAAAACAAACACGCACATCAGATCAGCAACATGCGTAAACTCATCTAAACTCACCACTCCTGACAGAACCTGATGCCCACAAAACCAGGTTCATAATTGCCACCTTCCAAATCCATGATAAAGTTACTGTAGCTCTGTATTAAAGTGTGCAGACGTAAAAATGAGGACAAATCCTCCTCCACTCCGTAGAAATGAATGGAAATAGTTTGTGCGCATGCGCGATCTTCTTCTTCTTCTTCTTCTTTTTTTTTTGGCGGTTGGCAAACAGCTTTTAGGCGCATTACCGCCACCTTATGAATAGGAGTGTGAGTCTGAATTCTATTCTACATCGCTACACTCTGGAATAATCCTGTTGTTTTCAAGTAATAAAAAATACATCTAAAACAGTGTTTCCTAGAATTTCTTTGCAATATATCATTAACATTCAGGTTTATCTTTATTTCCGCTAACTGTTCTATAAGTGTTTGTTTTTCCTGATTGTATTTAGGACAATGTTCTATAACATGTTCTATAGTTTCTTGATTACCACACTCACAGTTGCCATCAGCATGTTTCCTCGTTATAACTAATGTGCTGTTCAATCCTGTATTCTTTATGACCCTTCAAATTTGCCCAATAAACTAGGGCCAATTGTTCTCTTCTTAATTTAAGAGGCATCTCTCCCATCTCTACCTGGATTGCAGCCACATGAGTGGTTTTATATGCCCCACTACATAATCTCAAAGCCCGATACTGTATCAAATCCAGTTTATTTAACTGAGTTGTAGAAGCAGATCCATATATTATACATCCATAATCAAACATTTATCTTATTAATCCTATATATGCCTAAATAGTTTTCATAGCTGGTCTACTTGCACCGCACTGCACTCCCCTCAAACATCTCATAACATGTAAGACTATCTTACATTTATCCACTATTTTTTGGGTATATGCGTGACCTTGGCTTTGAGTTGAGTTGAACTTTATTGTCCATTCTGTTTGTCACAGAGCGGAAATTTATCTTTGACACTGGTGACATAAATACATTCACATTACTGCTTAAAAACACATTGCACATTAACAACACTAGCCTAAGGCCCCGTCCACACTAATGCGTTTTCGTTTAAAAACGGAGACCTTTTGCTACGTTTGCACCTCCCGTCCACACTAAAACGGCAAAAACGGAGACCCAAAACGGAGAAGTTTAGAAACGCTGCCGACCCGTTTTTCGTTTTTAATCTCCGGAGGGCGTTTTATTGTAGACGGGACAAAACGGAGAACTTTAGAAACGATGACGTAGTAGAGGCTCACGCTCGGCTCTATGATTGGGTGTCATCAGTCATGGCGTATATCTTTGCTAGCAGCTGTTGTACAAGTAAATTCTGCATTTTACAGCGCTATAACGGCCTACATGCGCCGGAGTCAAGCTATTATTCGAGCGATCTGTGACAATTCCCGTGTGCAGCGGCGGCGTTGACCGTACATGGAGCGTCGGTTTGGGGTTAACCCAGAGCATGGTGGGATAATTTTATCAATGAAGTTGTGTTTACACCGGCGCGCGCATGCCCAGTGTTGGTGAAAGGTCACGTGATCCGCGTTTTCAGTCGTTTTAATGTGGACGGAGATCAATTCTAATACGCAGCTAAAACGGTGGTGTGGACGGAGATCGTATTCGTTTTAATTATCCGTTTCTAAACTAAAACGCAGTAGTGTGGATGGGCCCTAATACAAAATATATTAGTGTTTATTTTGCTGCGTGAATAAATCACAGCGACTCCTTGTGGCGGCGGACAAAACAATGATTTATCCGGGGAGACTGTACTGTTTAATTCATTCTGATGTGTTTTATCTTTCTGAATAAATATTGTTATTATTTGTTTTGACATCTAATACCTAAAGATGTCATACATGCATATAAATCTTACAGTTTATAACTTATACAACTTTGACTGACGGATAAATTTGCAAGAAAAATACTAGGCTATACTAGCCCGTTACTTCTCTGTAATTTTTCATGGAAACCCACTGTAATGAACACAATAAATGTTTATTCTGTTTCTGCACAATTCTGTAACAGGACAAAAACATGTTCAGATATACAGTTCTGAATTAGTTAAAATATTTAAACAAAAAGTACTAAAATCAAATTTGCAAAACAATTAAGAACAATCATACTTTTATTTAGAAGGACCTAATGGGTGTTTTTAGAAAAAAATCAAGTAGGCCTTATCCAAGTAAGGTCTATTGGCTTAAATATATTGATAATTGATCATTTTGGTGGTGACAAAAAGATCTGAAATATGTTAGGCGGTTTATTACAAGACGTTTATTGATTGGTTTTACCAGTTCATTATGGTATTTTATTATTTTACACCATTATATTTTGGAGCCATACAATCAGTCATTCCTTGTTAAATGTATGCTAGACAAAACAAATTCTACATTAAGCAGTCAAACTTCATGTTTGGATTCACTTTATTTTGTGAGGTAACAAGAGCCAAAAGTAAAACAGGCGAAATGGATACAACAGTGCAGAATCATTCTTGGCCATAGGGTGGAGACAAAACCAAATTTACCAGAAAAAATATCCACGAGTCTGCTCTGCTCTCCACATGACGGGCAGACTCGCACAGAAACACACAAATAAATGCTAACAACTTTTTTCACATTATTCTGTAAAATATAAACATTGCATGTATTAGACTGTTCAGGAAAAAACCAAACCAAACAAGGACTCACATTTTGTCAGCAAAGATGTGAAAGGAGAAGGAAACGGAAGAAGCACTAAAGAAGAACAAACATCCTTATGCTATTTTGAGCTCCCAATAGAGTGACAACAAAATAAGATCCGATCCAGAACCCCTGCTGCACCACTGACAAATAGATGCTTCATAATCCACGAGTCTGTTGTGCGTTCACATTTGGTGTGCGGCTGTTGTCGAACACAATTCAGACTTAAAAGAGGATGATTCCCAAAAAACATTGGCGACAAACTTAAAACATGGTGAAATAGTTTGAAAAAACATTGTGTAAACCAGTAACATACTTTCAATATCCTCCAGACAGATGCATTACTTTTTTTTTCCCTAGAAATGATAAAATAAGACAGTTATTACAGATATTTATTCTTCTATGAATTCATTTTTTAAGACATTTCAAGCAAATACAGTGTCCCCAAAAATGATTTGAAGTCTTATGACTAAAAAAGTGTTGCAAAAATAAAGAGATTGCCTAGTTCTGATCATTTGTTTACACATTTATACAGGCATTACCAAATCCTTTTTAGGGCTACTGTACATTTTTCAGCATCACAATATCTTACCGCACCTTTGTTTTTCTTCTCTTTTTCCCAGATTTAAGTTCCTTTGCGCTTTTCAAAATGGCACTGAATGTTTCTGTGGACATGCGTGTTGAAACTTGGATCTTAATTGGAGATAGTTTAGCTGTCAAGGAGATGATAATAGGAAGGAAAATGATTAACAATCGCATTATACCAAACTGTCATCCACTACCAACACATATCCAGACTTTTATCAAGTCTTCTGAATCCATAAAAGCCATAGTTTGTGTGAGGAACAGACCTAAATTGAAGTCATTAATTTGCGATAGCGTTCCTCTCCAATGTGGCACTCATGAGAAAGAACCCAGCTAACAAAAATATGTTCTAAGACTATAGAAAACATTATTTCTGAATGCTCTCTGGATTATGTGAACATTAAGGGAACATTTCATTTTGCAAGTATTACAAGAATGTTACTTTTGAATGTTCTCTGAAACAAACTAACACTTAAAAATGTTTGACGAACATTCCATGAATGATGCATAGACAATGTTTTTGTGCTGACGTTTTGAGAACATTATTAAAGACCAGATAACATTCTATTATCGTTTAGGGAAATGTTACCAGATGTTAGGGAAATATCTGAGAACATTCTGGGAAGTGATGAGAAAGAAGATACAATAATTAGTAGACCTATTTACTTTTTAAAAATGGCATATCCAGAATTCACTAATTGAATATGTTCAGGTCATGTTATTCACAATACACAAGGAATCAGAGGACTTTTTTTGTCTCTAGCCCTTACGGTTCAAAAGTTATTAGCATAAACGTGTGTGCAACTTTGGACAGCTGGTGGTGCTAAAGGGGTTGAGTTAAGCCGGGTGCACACTGTGCGAATTATAATATTTCTTTACGATTGTTGCTTGTCAGACTGTACGAACATGATCATCGCTGTAAAGATCTCAGTTGTCATTAATGTCAGACTTGTACGACAGTCAAGAAAGATGCGTTAAAAACGGACGCACGCGCTATTGGGAGTTTTACATCATCAATACTAGCCCCTTTCACACAGAGATTCCGGAAAATACACGGATAAATTGACCCGGGATTTGACCCGGGTTCGTTTGATTTTGCTTCATTCACACTGCCAGTGATTTGCCGGAATCAGAGAGCGCGTTCACACACAACCCGTGTATGTTCCGGAAAGACGCGTGACGTTGGATGTGACGGGTGCTTGCAGACATTTTTTCGTTCTTTCTTGTATCGATGACGAACACAAACTTTCTTCTAGAGTAACTGAGTCGCACGATAACTACGTCATTGCAAAGGCTCGTGAATCATCACTATGACACACCCCTTATACGGCATTGGTTCTGGCTTTTGTTAAAACGTATAGACTCAGCAGTCTCACCTCATTTCTCTGACAGTTTAGCAGCGTCCCTCCACCACCCCTTCTCCACTCTTCTAGTCCTAAACCACTTTACATACAAGGGGGAGTACTCTGGGTTCGGGCCGAATTCCGAGCTCGGAGCCCTCCGCCCGGACAGCACACCAAATACGCATTATACTTTATTCCCTTTAATTCGCCTTTGGCTAAGCCCCGCCCCTCTTAGTTACTGTTGCTACGTCCGACAAACAAACTTCATCTGGGCTCTGGTATCAACATGGCTTATGCTGTGACAGCTCTTCCTGCTGAAAGTTTATCAAACTTTTATAAAGCAGCAAATAAAGTGTCCGATAGAAGTAGGCAAAAGCGGCTGCAATATACGTTCGAAGGCTCACGACATACAGGTAAAACACAAGGAACAACAAGGCATCCAAATAGAGGCAAAAGCATACCGGTCACAGTCAAAAAATGAACCACCGCATATCCTACTAATCGAGACGGAGGCTGGGACTAACAATATCAAGGAGCAACACTGTTCATGCAAAGCTGGGTAGGTCTCTATTCACTTCTATAATCGTTATTACAACGCAAATGGACTACGCGAGTATAACGTTGTATTTACTAGCAGCGTGTGCTAGACGACACTTGTCAGGATTTGACTTCGGTTTGAGAAGGGACACCCCCCTCCAACCTCTCTGGGAAATGCGTATCTGTGTTACAAATGCCCCAGACACAACGTTTAACCAAATTTTTGATAAAACTACAACGGTAATGGCCGGCCGAGACCAAAAATATGAGGCGCCTGTGTTAAAGTCAATGGAGCGCTGTGAAAAAGTGTCGGACCACTGTGGGAGCTCGTTCTTGGCTGCGCTGTGATTGGTCAATCTACATTCTAGGGTGTGGCTTAGCAAAAGGCGAATTGTAAGTAAGTGTGAACTCGTGAAATTTGTCTCAGACGGCCAAATTGTGGCCAAAATTGCAGTGAACACCCGGCTTTAGAGTCTCCAAATTTGCTATGGTGAATGTTTGGACTTACCTCCTATCTGTGTGCAAAATTTAACAACTTTTAACAATACGGTTCTATTGGCTTTCCATAGACTCAAAAGGAGAAGAAGAAGAAACGGAATAATAATAATAGGAACGCCAAAAGATACAATTATGCAATTACAATTAATTAACTCTAAACCAAACCCTTAGCATAACTCTATTAAAGCTCCAGGCCGTAACTTTTTTTGTGTTCAAAATTTACCAAAAAGTATATAATGAGCGAGTACATCATGAATCCATTTTCCAAACCGTGTTTTTGTCTTATCCTGAATCACTACGGTACACCTAATAAGTGTTTATATTCAGACTATTTTAGACTGATACTGGTATCGCTGCGGAGTATCCCAGTACCTGCGTGACTCGTCATAGACATAAACAGAGAGAAGTAGCTCCGGCTACAATGTGCATCCGCAAGACCCATGCAGTTCTGTTTATTAACCGCTAGAGCGCCAAAAGTTACGGACTGAATCTTTAAGTACATGTAATTAGTTAATATTACTCAGTACTTATTTGAGTAAGTACAATGTAACTACATCACCTAAAATCTTTTCATGAGGTCACCTCTAGAGTCGTATTTCCATCACATTAAAGTTCACACCTGTTTGTCTCTCTCTCAGGGCCTCTAAAAGCACTTTCCCACCATCCTCTCCAATGTGATTCTCACCAAGGTCCAGTTCGGTCAGGTGACTGGAGAACTGAACTAGACTGAAAGACATTTATAGACATTTACAGTTGAGTTTGATGCGTTATAGGATCAACTGTTCTGACATATGATAAAAGTATTCACTCATTGTGGCCAATCCAAACTTAAGTCTACCATCTAACAAAACAATTAATACAAACATGTTGAGAAACAGTAACAGCTGTAAAAGATTTCAATTGCAAATGCCGACAGAAGGTATTTTAATCAGTGTTAATTAAGAATATTCAGTGAGTCGCCAAAGAAATCAGTTTCTGGTTCACTTGTTATAATGTTAGCCAATGTTGTTTTGCGCCAAAAACAATCATAGTTTAGTTGTTCATGATCATTTGCCGCCCTCTCTCTGGTCCTTCCTGTTGTACAGAAAGCGAAGTAGCTTTTCTGCTGTGCAACCAAACTGCTGTTCTATAGCCGACAGAAAAAAATATATGAAATTTTGGGTTATTGAATATTTTCAATGTGATATGATAATGGTCATAAATTATAAAATTTACATGAGAAAGGGAACCACATTTACATCCAAATGGTAATTACTCAGAACACCAAAGTGAAGCTAAAAACTAAATCATCTGGATTCAGTCAGATTTACTGAGTAGAAACTGCTGTTTGTGTGCCTGTCACAACATGTGGAACTTGTATCAAGTTCAACAGGCGTATTTTTTTCAAACAATGGGTGTGTATTTTGTTACTTTGTAGAAATTTTACACTAGTTAAGAGTATTTGGACTGTATTTTCTAAGTTCTGCATGTGATGTGCAAAACTTTACTTGCAATTGTGGTTCTGCTGTGGAGCTGTAAGTGCTGTAATCTGTTAATATGGACGTTCAAATAAATAAGACCTGCATATATGTTGCAGATGCTTGTGTAAAACAGAAATGGAGTGTTTTGCTGCTCAGATGGCAATGCCAAAAGTCTGTTCACTCACTTTAGGGGAAAAAATGAATAACCAGTAATGCATGATTTGCCTTGTTTAAGACTACTGTGAAAATGTTCAGTTCGCTAAAAATCATGTTTATCGGACTTGAGAGTGAAAAGGGAAATGCTTTATTTTTTAATGGCTACTATGATCTTATCATTTAACATCCATAACAGTCCAGAAACTAGTACATGTAGATGTATGTGTGACTATGAGATGAGCAATTATTGAATCTGAACTTGGTGCATAAAAGATGATGTAAAGGTATGCAGGCTGAGGAGAAAGACAGCTGTATTTGGCTGGTACAAAGATAAATCTCTTAGTATGTGCGTCAAAGTGTGCTTCAAGCCATTTCAGTTGTACCTGCACTCACGCACATCATAAACACCTCTCTTCACACTGGTACTTTTCCCACAGCATTTAAGCAGGCTTGGGTAACCCCACTGCTTAAGAAACTCATTCTAAATCCAGCACATCTCGAAAATTACAGACCAGTACCCCTACCATTCGTTGTGAAAACACTTGAACGAGTTGTTTTCAACCAGATCTCTTCCTTTCTTACCTAGAACAACCCCCTGGACAACAACCAGTCTGGTTTCAAAAGTGGACACTCAACTGAGACTGCCCTGCTCTCGGTAATTGAAGCTCTGAGACTGGCAAGAGCAGCTTCCAAATCCTCAGTTCTCATCATGCTGGATCTGTCTGCTGCCTTTGACACAGTTAACCACCAGATCCTCCTGTCAATCCTAGAAACGAAGGGCATCTTGGGAACCGCAGAATTGAACTTTACAGACCACATTGCTAGAACTGCCCAGTCCTGCAGATTTGCCTTATACAACATTAGGAGGATCAGGGGTTTCCTATCAGAGCATGCTACACAACTCCTTGTCCAAGCACTTGTTCTATCCAGACTGGCCTATTGTAATGCTCTCCTGGCAGGTTTTCCAGCTTGCACTGTCAAACCTCTGCAACTGATCCAAAATGCTGCAGCTAGAGTGGTCTTTAATGAGCCGAAGAGAGCACATGTCACTCCTCTCCTTACATAATTACACTGGTTGCCAGTACATTTAAATCACTGTTTTAACAACCTTTTGTTATGCTTTAAAGAAGTACATTTATTTTGATGTGTCGACAAACATACGAAACCACATGTAAAATACTTGATTATAATTTCTCTGTGTGTATTCAATAATTGTAAGTAAAACATATTTTAAATATGCTAAAATTGCAACTTCATTGCAAATGTGTAATTACAAATATATTTTTAGACATGAAATACAAGTTTCGAAATCAATTAAATTTAGTTTACCATAATTGCTTGTTGTCTACACTTTAACCATTTAAAGACAATAGAAGTAATTATGAAATTACATGTAAAGATGCAAATAACATGCAATTAGGAGTCCGAAAATATTACATTACATCCAGTGTTCGCCTTTTTCACACGGGAAGAAGAATGCAGAACAGAAAAAGAAGGGACAAATTGGATTTACCTAATAGGCCTATCTGCAGAGAACATCAAATTCCTTAACTGTCAAATAGAGAGGATGTGTAGAAGGTCTTAGCCAAATCCAGAGGTGACATTAACGTCCTGCCAAACATCAGATTGGGAATATACAGCTACAAATGTCTATCTCATATGACCAGTAAATTCTGAATGGGACTAACTGTTTACAGACTTAATTGAGAGATTTAATTTGATCTCCATTTAGTCTTCAACTGTCCCTTGATGCTGCCATGCTGGTGTTTGTAATGAATTGAGTCTCATGCTTGAACTGTTTAATTGCAGGCAGTGAGAAATTATTCTGAAATAGCATACTATGCATAAAATGTCATACAAAATAATAATATAATATATTATTTTTATTGTAAAAAATAATAAAATCAACATTCTTTTAAATAGACTTGAAAATTATGTTGGCATTAGTGGAATTGCATTAGCATGGTTTAAATCATACTTATCTGACCATTATCAGTTTGTAGCAGTAAATGAAGAAATGTCTTATCGATCAAGTTCAGTATGGCGTACCACATGGCTCAGTACTAGGACAGTTGCTGTTCACTCTGTACATGCTACCCTTAGGGGATATCAATAGGAAGCATGGCATTAGTTTTCACTGTTATGCTGATGATATGCATATGCTCTATATTTCTTAACGCCCTGATGAAACTTACCAATTCACAAAATTAACGGAATGCATAGCTGATATAAAAAACTGGATGACTAGTAATTTCAACGTTATTTCACGACCAATTCGTACGAGTGATTAAAAGGTGGCTAATTCGTACGAATTCGTACGACCTCACTCGTACGAATTCCTACGATTTGTCTAAACCCACGGGATGGGTAGGTTTAGGGGCGGGGTCAGGGGTAGGTCATTCGTCCGAATTCATACGAATTTGGTAACTCGTAAAATATGTACAAATTAGCAAAAATCGTACGAATTTGTACGATTGAGGTTGTATGAATTTGTACGAATTAGCCACCTCGTAAAATTCGTACGAATTGCCGTGAGATCGGGTTGGTAATTTTCTACTACTTAATTCTGAAAAAACAGAGATTCTAATTATTGGACATAAAACTTCCTCACGTACTAACTTAGAATACTGTCTAACACTTGATGGCTGCTCTGTCAAGTCTTCGTCGTCGGTAAGGAACCTGAGCGTGCTCTTTGATACCAATTTTTCATTTGAAAGTCACGTGTCTAGTATCTGTAAAACTGCATTTTTCCATCTTAAAAATATATCTAAATTACGTCATATGCTCTCAATGACAAATGCGGAACAATTAGATCATGCGTTCATGACATCAAGGCTAGATTATTGTAATGCTATTATGGGTGGTTGCCCTGTACGCTTACAGTAATAAACAAACTACAGCTGGTCCAAAACGCGGCAGCTAGAGTTCTTACCAGAACCTGGAAGTATGACCATATTCTGTCAACACTGCATTGGCATCCTATTAAACATCGTATACATTTTAAAATATTGCTGATTACTTACAAAGCGCTAAATGGTTTAGCTCCCCAGTACTTGAGCGAGCTCTTAACGCATTAAAGTCTGTCACGTCTATTGCGATCTCAAAGTTCCGGCCAGTTAATAATACCTAGAATATCAAAATCGACTGCTGGTGGTAGATCCTTTTCCTATTTAGCACCAAAACTTTGGTCTTCCTAACATTGTCTGGGAAGCAGACACGCTCTGTCGGTTCAAATCTAGACTAAAAACACATCTCTTTGACCTAGCATACACATAACACATTATAGACTTCTATAATTCAATGTTAGACTGAATAGATTTAGTCAGCCGGAACCGGTAACACTTCCCTTAAATCCTGATGTACTTGTTACATCATAAGAAGGATGGCGTCTACGCTAATATTAGTGTCTCTGTTTATCCCGAGGTTTACTGCAGTCCGCCGGATCCAGGCCGTATCCAGATATGATGAAGGACCTGCACCTGGACACAACGACAACGCAGTCCTGAAGTGTCAACTAGTCTCTCCCCTGTGAAGGCCTCTTTCCCTTCCCTTTACCTCTGTAAAGATAAAACGTTGTTGGGATAATTCCGGTTCACGTGGCTACGTGTAAATTCTGTATTATACATTTTTCAAGGCTTGTACCTTGGAACCTATTTCATGGTTTGCGTTCTCGAGCCACCAGGCACCGTTTTGTGCAAATGAGTGGCCGGATCGCATTAAGGGTTTTCGGTAACACTTTACAATAAGGTTCGTTAGTTAACATTAGTTAACTACATTAGTTAACATGAACTAACAATGAACCGCACGTATACAGCATTTATTAATCTTTGTTAATGTTAATTTCATCATTTACTAATACTTTATTAAAATCTTGTTAACATTATTTAATGCACTGTGAACTAACATGAACTAACAATGAACAGCTCTATTTTTATTAACTAACGTTAACAAAGATTAACAAATACACTAACAAATGGATTGCTCATGGTTAGTTCATGTTAGTTAATACATTAACTAATGTTAACTAATGAACCTTATTGTAAAGTGTTACCGGGTTTTCTGCTAGAACGGTGTCGTGTTAGCGGCCCCTAAGTTAATAACTAATGATCGTTGCAACGGAAGTGAATCAATCAAAACAAACTTTATTCTAGAGCTGCTGTAAAGCCAAAACAATCTCTGTTACTTTAATTTCCTATTATCACTGTAAAGCTGCTTTGAAACAATCTATATTGTTAAAAGCGCTATATAAATGAAGGTGACTTGACTGGTTTCAGAGTAATAAATCACAGCTCAGGTGATTGGCTAAAAAAAAACTTTTCAAAAAACAAATTAAGAGCCCAATAGTAAAGATAGCAGCATGCAGGTCACGTACGTCCCTGGGCATTAAGGCCTAGTAAAGCAAATGCAATTGAGATGAATGGGAATGCAAATTAATAGTACAGGCTTTTAGACCGAGGGCGTGAGGGCGTGTGTTTGAAGGGACGAGGCTAATTCACCCTGCAAAAAGTGATTCAATGACACAACTATTCCAAAGTGTTACTGAAAGATACATTTATTGAGAAGCAAGATGTCAAAAATCTTGTTTTCTAAATGTTTCAAAATAAAAGTGATTTTATGCTTAAATTGAGAAAAAAATATCTCCCAATGGAGTGAGGGAAAAATTTTGCTTTTCTTACAAAATTGGCTGATATTTTTCGTTTCATTGTTATAGCATAAACTTTTTACAGATTTTCTTTTCAGGTAAATATATATCTTGAGTTAAGAATGTTTATACATTTTATATTGGAAAACCACAAGAATACTGAGTAAGACAATGAATAATACTAGGAGATAGACTTTAAGGAGACAACTTGATGGAAGACCCCCTGGGGATGACCGGCGAAGATGCAGCCACTGATGATGGAGACACTGGTGGAGCTGACAGGCCGAACAGCCCACGTGACACTGATGGTACTGGAGACCTAGGTGGATCTGCGGCGGCGAGCATCCGAGTGAACCAGAGGACTGATGCAGAGCTGGAGGGACAGAGGACTAAGGCGGAGCCTGGGGGAGGGCGGATCAGATAGTGCCGAAGGCGCAGGCAGGACGATGTCCGACCAAGGCGAAGCCGGAGGGACGAGGGAGCCCGGTGGAACCGTATGGCCAATGGTTTCCGGTGGAGCCGAGGGAGGGCGGAGCCAAGGTGGAGCCGAAGTGTCAACAGGCCGAGGTGGAGCGATTGGACCAGAGGCTGTTGGTGGAGCCAGGGGATCCTCTAGGGTTGGTGGAGCTGGTGGCCTGAAGACACTTGGCAGATCCTTGAAGTAAGTGGGAGATGAGCGGAAGCGGGGCTGAGGAACAGGCTGTTTGAGGAGGTGGGAGAGGGAGGCTGGGTGGGCAATCTGAAGATACAGAGGGCGTTGGGTATACAGGAAGCACTGAAGATACAGTGAACACTGGAGAAACTGGGAATAATGTCACCAACAAATCTTCCTCAAATAAATCCTTTATTTTTCTAAGTAAGTACCAGAGGCCATTAACATCTCATCCACAGCGGTGGGGTAGTGGGCGGGGCTTTCCACCGAGCCCTCGAACTCCACAAGCACTCCCTCAGAGATGCACAATGTTGGCGGCTCACGCACCTGGTCAGACTCTAGCAGTGGTACAGGCTCCGTGGTGATGACTCCTTCCAAACTCGTCTGGTTCGTGCTCTAAATCGCGCCGGGCCGGTCTCCACGGTCTGCAGTAGGCACAGGCAACTCCATCATGCCAGTCCCGGTCGGTGGTGGATGGCTGGTCTCTGGGGGTGTGTTCAGAGTGGGGCTGGTGACGATGTCATCCTCAGCGGGGCCGATGGTGTAGGCTGAACTGGAGTTCACCAACACCCACTCGATGAACTCAATGAATGATCCTCGAGAACCCAAACCGGGCCTTTGTGCACTCCTTCAAAGTGGCCAAATAAAAAAAGTGCATGAGGCTCGCCAGATAGAGGAATCTAGATGTGTGGGCCTCGAGGCTCTTCTGCTCCTGCTCCAAGAAAAGCAGCAACACAGCAGGTGAAGCCATGCTTATCGGTTATGGGTCAGTTCTTCTGTTACGGAACATGGTATTGAAACACACAAAGATGAGGAACAATACTAGGAGATAGACTTTAATAAAGATATTCTGGAAACAGGAACAAACGTAGGAGAAAATCACACACGCTAACGAGAACCGACAAACACCAAGGGAGAACTGAAGGCTTATAAGCATGAACAAACAAAGGGAACTAATGAGTTATTAACAAGACACAGGTGGATATGATGACTAATTAAACAGACCGAGGAAAACCAGGTCACAGGACAGAACCAAAAACACAATGAAGGAGGGAACACAGAACATACATGTTACAGCAGTAGCTTTATCTGGTGAAAGTTAGCCTGTCAATGCATTTTAAAGGTCCACTGAAGTGCCTCATTTCCACTGAAAAAGGAAGCTACAGCGGGACATATTGAATGGCTCCTCGCCCTTTTCAAATAGCCAATAACATTTAGTTTACCTCACAGACTGTCAAGTCGTACTTGACAGCACCATGGAAGTGAATCCGAGCACTGGTGATACGTTGATTCAATAGTATAGGTGTGAATGAATTCTAGTCATTTCATTCCTAACCAATGTACAGTTGGGAATAAAAAAACGGAATAAAACTCGAGCAACCGAACACACATCTCCAACCAGTAGCGTAATTTTCTGCTTCTGAGCGAGTCTCTCGAATGGCAGAAGCCATGTTGTGCATCCATCTTGAAAATACATTAGACAAAGAGGGTCATGCCTGGAAATTCAAGCTTCGCCCTTCGCGTTTTACACTCATTAGCACTGTGACGAATGTGAGAGGGAGATTACTTGCGACTGCCAGCAGATTTGCAATAATACGGCCACCGTAGGAGTTAAAATGCCCTGGGAATGGGAGAGGCTAGAAAGTAATATTCAGTTGGTAGTCATATACAATTTCACCGCTAGATGTAAGAAAATCCTACACAGTATAGCTTTAAGCATATATTTTATGGTAAAAAATATATCATCTGTGTTGACAACTCCAGTTGCCAAGAAAAGACAGATGACATTTTGAACAATATACTCAACCGTATATACAGAGTCATGTACACTCACATGCAAAGGAGCTCCAAGAATTGAGTTAGTTGATTTGGTCCCTCCTTTCCTGGGTGATCAATGGAGTTATCAAACATGTGCAGCTTCTCTAGCCACGGACCCTCTGCAGCACCAGGACCGCTCTTTGTTTTTTCTCTTTTCTTCTTCGTCTTCTTTCCTAACCAGTAACCACAACAACATGTCATCCACAGCTGAACCTAATCTGACATCCATCAAATTGACATGACTCACTACCTCCTCCCATTCATCAAGAGATGCAATTCATTTTTATAATAACACAGTGCATAAACAAGAAAATATAATTAAAAGGGGAAACTAGATTAATTAACTCTGACTGAGAGGCCTGTAAATTTAAACACACAATGTGTCTGTCCCTTAGTTCTCTCGTTGGCCAACAGGGTAGTGGGAAGGTTTTTGAGGAAACAGCTAAATGCTATTGGCCGCACTGAGAATGTGGCAACCAGAGTGTGAGACCAGATTCACTCATTACCACAAACCACAAGTTCAGTTATGGCCTCCCTTTGACAACATGATCGATTTATGTGTGTGAAAACATTTATCATATTTAATTTATAAGTGCCCGTCCACGTGCGGTCGTGCGTGGTAATGTGTGTGAAGCTAACGTAGAAACGGAGCTACAAGTCCCATCATTTTGTTTGTGTTTTTTGTTTATTTTTAGTATGTAGTTTAATTTGAAAAGGTTACAGCTGATCTTTCAAAAAAAATCCCATGCAATCCATGTAAATGGCAGTAATCACCATCGAAATTGGGAAGACCACCAGGAAGACTGCACCAAATATTAAAAGTAAAATTTGATAAGAATTAATAATATTCTAACTTCCACAACACATTTAACCAATACAAATGTAACAGTAGCTGTGCAGATTTGCACAGCTAGTCTGGTTTGATTTCTGTTCAGAGACTTTTGTTCTGAAGTTTGTTTCATTCCTTTGTTCCCGTTTTCTCAGTGTGTTTAGTTCCTTTTTCCTTGGTTGTCACGATTTCTATAGCTGTGTTCGAAATCTCCCCCTATACCCCCCCATTCACTATTTCCTACATTACTCCACTAATATAGTTCACTTGAAGGAGTGAATGAAAACGATTGAGTGAATTTGCACACTGAGTGCACCGGAAGAGCTGCCGCTTTTACATAGTTTGTGCTTGCTGTTTAATAATTAATTGGAACTTAGCAAACTGGCAGCTCCAGTAGTAATGAACAGATTTATCTTGAACTCTGTTATGGAAACTAGGATGTATAAACCTTAATCAAACAATTTAATAATGAATAAACAATTCATTTATACCTGTATATTACTCCGTATAGGACCAGCGGTTTGGAAAATGGATGGATAAAAGATTCAGCTGCAAGCGCCGTATTTTGGCGAGACGCGGGAATAAATTTGGCACAACCCTTACAGTGCATTGTGGGTATTCTCTAACTGTTGAATGTACATCAGTTGTACACTCATTGCGGTGCATTATGGGATTGAATGAGTGTACTCGATAACGTCCACTATGGTTCCGGACACCACAACAAATGGCTGTCCCCTCAAATAGTAAAGCAACAGTTTTTTACAGGGCGATTTCGGACATAGCCTATGTATGTTCTCATTTGTTCCCTTAGTTACTGAATATGTTCCACACTTGTTCAGTTAGTTAACATCCTATGTGTCCATGCTCTCTCACCCAATATATTTATAGTTTCTTCTGTTTTCTATGCATGTTGTCTATGCATGTATGCAAAGCTGGTGTGTTTTTCTCTTAATGAATTATCTTCTTGGATTATCTTTCATGTGAATCGCTAGAATTAGACCCTTATCTACTATTTGCTTTTTTCATGTTAATTATATCAATATTGTCATGAGACACAAATGGGAAAGAAATGGCCCCAATCCCTCAGAAAGAGCCACGATTCTTCATGTACAGAAAGCCACAAAAATAAGTTGCTTTGATTAAAAGAGTTCGGTGTATATCTGCCTAGGACTATGTACAAGCATATGTGTCTTTCCTGTTTCTCCTCCCCATTGTCTGTGGATGTGTTGCGTTGTCAAGGTGCTGTAACAGGAGTCCTAAGCGAGAATATTTGTTCAGGTGGTATCAATGGGGGTTTTGTGATGTTTAACACGAGGGAAACCAAGATCCCTTCAGAGCTCTTAGTGATAACTCTGTGAATATGTGGACACAGTTTAGTTAGGTTTTTGTTGTATTATTTTAAGGCTGTATGAATATGTTTATGTTTGGACATAGCTAAATAATATAATATATATGCTTCAGGCTTTATGAGGCTCCTGATGTGGTTTTCCGAGGAAGAGAAAACAACTCAGTACCTTTGTTCTTTGCTTTCTTTTGCCTGGAAGACATATTGCTCATTTGGGAGATCAACTCTGTCTCGTCTGAAAGGAGAAAACAAAATGCACAAAATGAGGTTACTTTACACGCTTTAATGTCTACTGGTAAGTTGAGGAGATGATTCTAATAACTTAGTTACTTGACACATTCCATTGCATAACATTACACACTGCATATGTATCCCACTCATGCAGAACTCTGAGGTTTAGAAAAACAGAAACCTTAAGGGAGAAGTCTTATCTTGATCTTTTACGACCAATTCACACTGCACCAACAGACGTCATCCAATGCGGACAATCACCAGAATATAGTCTTTCACTTCTCAGACATTCCACCCCTGACGGAATGTGTGTTGGTCGGTGTCTGTCATCTGTACTATTGATAGAATGAATTAGGTGAAAGTTGATAAACTAACATACACACCTGTGATGGATGTGGTCCTGTTTTGGATCTCTGCCATTTTTTGGCTGTTTTCAGCAACAGGTCTCAGCAGCTCAATGGCACCCCCACATTGCAGCTCATTACCATTGATGTAGAGCTCCCTAAAGGCGAGGATCAACAAATTAATGCATTTAGGACTGACAAAGTAAGCCTACTTTATGAGACTGACTGTTTAATTAAAAGAAGAAAAAAAAAAAACAGTCTATGCATTTACTTAATTTTACATTAAACTATATAGATTCTGTTATGTGTTAGATTTTTTAAATAGATGTCAGAAGTCTTTGTTCAATACACAGACAAGCCAGGCTCCTGTTGATGAAAGACCTAGTTTATATTTTTATTTGCTTAAGACAGAGTGATATTTATGATGATTTGACACTGTATATAATATCTATTTCCTTACTGTCAGAGTCACTAGCGGAAATACCTGCGTTCACGTTTTAAAAAGAAGTCAATCAAAGAGTTAACGCTTCACTTGTTAACTGATGCAAGATGTTTCTTGAGCTATAAAAGCCCCCAAACATCAACTCAATCTCTTCTTCATTCCTGGTTGATGAAATCGATTAGTTATGATAGTCTATGCAGTTTTCATCTGAAAAGAGCTTCAATTGAACCCTTGTACAGTACAGTGCATTTTTTCCCCTCTGGAACCTGCAATTTTCCATGCCTGGAAAAAGCTGTTTAATGAACGTTTCTTTTTACGAACGTTTCTTCTTTGAAACGTGCTGATTTACAAGCGTCTTGTTTTCCAAAAGGCATACCCAGGATGTTCAAGTGGTTTGAGATGACTTCCACATTTCTGCCGGACTGCAAATATCAACTTTGTGAACATACACATTCTGTATCCCTTTCATTTTGTCCTCACTGGGACTGCTCTTAGGTGAGTATTGAAGCTCAAACTGGATACAGTTAGAAGGTCTACATGCCTTAGTGTGATGGATAGCATGGGTGGACATAATCAGTGCCCTTCCTGCCTCAGTATTGAACACCTCATGGAGATGCTCCAACGCATTCTCATCCCAAGGCGTCATAAACTGACACTTTTGACATTTCGTCTAAATCTAACGCACATGGCACCCTTTAGCGTCAATATAGTTATGGGTAGGCTTAGGTCTGGGGTAGGGTTAAGCCTTGTGTATACTCGACGCGTCCGCACGAGCGCGAGTCTCCGCTGACTGCGCGCGGACCTCTCCATATGGACGAGGCGTTTATACTTGACGCGCTCGCCGTTGTGCTATTCTGTGAAACGACAGGGGGCGACTCGGAGTAATTCTCCTCTAAACCACCAGGAATCAGCAGTGAAGAAGTAGTTTGCCATTTATTAGTAGTTTATTAATTTCTGATTCATATAAAAAGAGTAATAAATGCAGTAGGTTTATTGCACTTTCACTGCATGTAAACTAGTAAACAACTGAAGCCTTATTGAAGAGTGTTTAAACCTTAATTTCATCAGCAGGGCTTACTTCTGCTATTGTAGGCTTATTTTGTAAATGTAAGCAGTTACTTTATACAAGTGCAAACTGGGTGCTTAATGTAAATGTGTTCCTATTCACAAAATGAGAGGCTTTTATGGTCGCCCATCAATGCAAATGTCTCTGTGTATAGAAGGATCATAAACATGGTGGTACAGACATACCAGTTCGGCCAGATTCGGCTCGAAGTCGTTCATCTTCGGATGCGGCGCCGCGCGCGATGTTACAAAAAGTGCCGTGCACACCGCCAGGCGAAATGGGGTCTTGCGCACCCAACGCGCACGACCGCCCACACCGCAATGACGTCATTTTTGCCGCGCGCACTTCGCGCTCTTGCGGACGCGTCGAGTATAAGGCCAATTTATACTTCTGCGTCGAGTGTACGCCGTAGTGTACGGCGTAGGCTACGCACGTAGGCAACGCCGTCATGAGCATTTATACTTCTGCGTTTAGGTCTGCGTTGCTCTGCAGTACAGCGCCGAAACGCTAGTTGGCGGCGGAGGGTTTTAATGTTCCACTGTGTTTAGATTCCTTGCGGCAAGAAGAAGAAGATTCCTCGCGGCTGTTTTGAGTTTAGGTTACTACAAGCAATGGCGACTGAAAGAGAGCAGATCATGTTGGAGTTGGAGCTTATCGAGGTGGAAAAGGTAAATTTTTAGTTTTTTTAACAGTTTCGCTGTACTTAGAATTTAAAAATGGCGGGCGGTGCAGAAGAACACGCCGGAAATGCATAGGAGGAAACGCGATGCTACCAAGCCGACCAATCACAGATCTTGCGGTCCGCGTCGTCGCGACGTGTAGTTACATTTTTGAGGAGGTGCGCGTCAGGTTACGGCGAAGGGTACGGCGTATGGTACGCGTCTGTGCGTATGCTACGCCGTACCTACTGCCCGCACCCGACGCAGAAGTATAAATTGGCCTTCAAAAATGTAACTACACGTCGCGACGACGCGGACCGCAAGATCTGTGATTGGTCGGCTTGGGAGCATCGCGTTTCCTCCTATGTATTTCCGGCGTGTTCTTCTGCACCGCCCGCCATTTTTAAATTCTAAGTACAGCGAAACTGTTAAAAAAAAAAAAAAAAAATTACCTTTTCCACCTCGATAAGCTCCAACTCCAACATGATCTGCTCTCTTTCAGTCGACATTGCTTGTAGTAACCTAAACTCAAAACAGCCGCGAGGAATCTTCTTCTTCTTGCCGCGAGGAATCTAAACACAGTGGAACATTAAAACCCTCCGCCGCCAACTAGCGTTTCGGCGCTGTACTGCAGAGCAACGCAGACCTAAACGCAGAAGTATAAATGCTCATGACGGCGTCGCCTACGTGCGTAGCGTACGCCGTACACTACGGCGTACACTCGACGCAGAAGTATAAATTGGCCTTTGTTTATACTCGACGCGTCCGCAAGAGCGCGAAGGTGCGCGCGGCAAAAATGACGTCATTGCGGTGTGGGCGGTCGTGCGCGTTGGGTGCGCAAGACCCCATTTCGCCTGGCGGTGTGCACGGCACTTTTTGTAACATCGCGCGCGGCGCCGCATCCGAAGATGAACGACTTCGAGCCGAATCTGGCCGAACTGGTACGTCTGTATCAGCATGTTTATGATCCTTCAGAGACATTTGCATTGATGGGCGACCATAAAAGCCTCTCATTTTGTGAATAGGAACACATTAAGCACCCAGTTTGCACTTGTCTAAAGTAACTGCTTACATTTACAAAATAAGCCTACAATAGCAGAATAAGCCCTGCTGATGAAATTAAGGTTTAAACACTCTTCAATAAGGCTTCAGTTTAGTTTACATGCAGTGAAAGTATAATAGACCTAATGCATGTATTACTCTTTTTATATGAATCAGCAATTAATAAACTACTAATAAACGGCAAACTACTTCTTCACTGCTGATTCCTGGTGGTTTAGAAGAGAATTACTCCGAGTCGCCCCCTGTCGTTTCACAGAATAGCACAATGGCGAGTGCGTCAAGTATAAACGCCTCGTCCGTTTGGAGAGGTGCGCGCGCAATCAGTGGAGACTCGCGCTCGTGCGGACGCGTCGAGTATAAACAAGGCTTTAACAAGGCTTTATGGTGTGTTCACACCGAACGCGAATTTAATTATTTGGGCGAGTAGATTACATACAAAGTCAATGCAAAGACGCGAATAGACGCATCATTCGCGCCGGGCGTTGCGAATGACGCGAATTGGGCGATGCGTTTGCCGCGAATGTCTTCCGCGCAAGTTGAAAAATTTGAACTCGAGCGAATGTTCAAGCGTCTAACTAAACGCGATAGATGCGTATTTGACGCTCTATTCGCGTTCGGTGTGAACACACCATTAGGGTTAGACCACTAGGAGGCGCCTTCTGGCCCATATATATCTGCGTCTCATATTGACGCTAAAGGGTGCCATAGGGGTGGGAGAAAAAAATCGATCCATCGATGCATCGCGATTCTCTCTCCAACGATTCTGGATCGATTCTGAGAATTCCAGAATCGATTCTGAGCTTAGTTTTTAACCAGATGTGCAATGACGTTGAGTTTGCTTTAGAAACACCCGTATTCTGCTTGCTTCCAATTCCTCACACACATACACCACTCGAACCTTCCGTAAATAATCTTTCATAAAGTTCGGAAAGGTTGAAGCGAATTACAAGGACATTCACAGGCTTCATTGCACAGGATAGCCTACGCTGTGAGAGACGCGCGCTTTCTTTGATGTTACACTTGAAGTGTGCTGTCTCGCCCGTCGGTATTTTCCTTACAAATGCTCTACGAAGTCATCATTTATGTGGTTTGGAATGCAGTGGACTTTATATTTAAAATATGAACCTCACCAACAGAAGGCTGCTTTCAATTTCAAATGCTGACGCGCGCTTTGTTTGTGAGACTGCTCGCGCATGCGGCTGTGCGACTCCGCGACTCCGTGTAGTGGTTTAATGTAGCCTACTTGTGCAAAATTAACGTAAACACAGCCAGTTATGTCTTAAGGGATTAAACGGACAGGACACACCGCGTTACTTCTTTTATTTCAAAAGAGATGCGTGCGTGAATGCAGCTTAATAGGTCTCCCGCAGTCTATGATGTCATAGTAAAAAACAACAGTAAAGATGAAGAAAAATCACTCACAGTTCTTGAATGGAACGTTCAGATAATCTATAGGCTACTGAAAGCACTTTTTGTTTGTTGTTTGTTATATTTTTCTATACTCCTTTTTATTATTTGTTATATTAGTTAGCCTATATTAGTTTAAAATTCTTAACATACAACTGTTTTAATAAAAAACAATTAATTTGTAATTATTTTTTAAAAAAGTACTTAATTACTTATGTAAACTAATGAATTAATAAGGGGGGTTGCCACGTGCGTTGGATTTAGACGAAATGTCAAAAGCGTCAGTTTATGACGCCTTGGGATGAGAACGGGCTCAGATGCTGGATATGTTTGCATGAGCTGTGCAATTCTGCACTGCAATCAAGTAATGCAACGTATTTATATAGAACTTTATACAATAGATTGCTTCACAGCAGCTTTTAATTAAACATGAGAAAACAATGTCAGTGTCTCTTTCAATTATAATTGCAACTTAAATTTCCACTATAAAGCAGCTCTCCAGAGTGTTCATTTTTTACTTGCGGACGTCTTACCTCGATTGACTAAACAGAAGAAATTAACCGTAAAAGATTTCCGGAAAAGAAAGCGGAGCCTCAGCGATATCAGGTGTTTACCAGTTGGAGTGAACTTTTCCAGAAAGTTTGCTTTGGCAAGCTGTTTTGAAATTTTGTTCGAAAAGAGGTCACACCAGTTTGCTGTTTGATTTTGCTTGAAGTATATTGGGGCCTTTAGTGTGACACCTCCCATTCAAATCAAGCCGGTTAGTGTAGCGCCAGCTTTACTGAACTTGCGGTGCAGGCTATGCGTGTCATCGCATCAACTACTTTGCTACTCTATCCAGGCACCAAGTTTGGTTAGCTCAATCTCCCTTGCCTAAGGTCTTTCGGAACGACTTGAGATGGCAGCTGCTAGTGCAAGGTTGAATCTTTGGACCAGTGTTACAAGAGACCCTGGACCAATGCATTTCAGTCTCACTGAGAGTTCTCACTTATGGTCATTTCCCAATCTCATTCTTCTATATCTTCTTCAGTCATTTCCTGTCTCTCTCAAAACATGGCAGAAATGCCAAAAATATATCTTAAAAATGATATTTGAGTGGACTACATGCAATCCTACATCAATTAACTCTATCCCTGTCAGCGTTTTTGAAAAAAGTTGCCTGCCAGCACCAGCATTTGATCATTTTCACAAAAGTTTCACAGCCCCCAGAATATGTTGTTGTATGAATATCTGGACATGCATTTTATCAAAAGAAAGAACAGGCTGTCTGCTTTTAAACAACAACAACAAAAATTCTAGCTCCATGCCTTTTTTTTTTTATCAACACTTGCATGTGGGAAAGTTTCACTAAAAAAGCAACATTTCAAGCAAAAAGCTGAGGAAAATCACGTTTTTGTCAAAGACTACACCTGGATTGGATTCAGAACGATGATAAAAACATAGATGGAGTAGATTAAGTCCATCAGCACCTCCAAAGCTTCACAATCCTATATCTCGTCCTATGTCAACATTTAATTCGGTAACATTCGGTAACATTTTGATTTATATGCTGTTTAATGTTGATGGTCGAGATTCTGTACTCGTTAAGAAGATGCCTAATACCGCCCCCCTACTGTATAATAGTGAAAACAAAATTTTGGATTGTCAAAATAGCTTTTCTTCTACTGTAACTCTGAAACCCCTGTGGCCCAGTAAGATGTCATCAGCTGAAGCTCACATTCATGAATTAATATGTGATGAAATATTAAAGCAGAAGCTATAATGGATCCCAGGAGTCACAGCAGAGAGTCACAGGTTAATGGGAAACATAAGCATCAGTGGTCATAACAGTACGTACCTCACAGAACTGTTGGTGAGAAGTGAAGCTAGCAGAGTTCCGCTCCATGAACCCAAACCACAATAACATAAACTCAAGGAAAATATTTGACTGGTCCCCACACCTCCACTCAGCAAACCTTTCAATCCTTCTTGTCCCACGCTGAGAGAGAAACAAGCAGACAGAGGATGGGTTAATTAGTAAACCTTTAAAAACACATTGAAAAAATATTTAAATAGGAAAAATACATACTAAAACCATTGAAACAAAAGGCTAAAACATTTTCCAAAGTACTGTAGCTCAAACATTGAATAGCATTGAAAGGTTCCATTCACACAGAACATGTTTTCGTGTTTAAAAACGTGAGACACAGGGTGGTGAAATGGGTGAAATAAAAACATCAAACATGTTTTTATCAAACACACCTGCCTGTAATTTTCAAGCAATCCTGAAGACATAGGGTGGTTCTCAAACGGAAGGCTGCATCCTAGTGAGGCTACGTCCTAGTCTTTCCTAGTCTAGTAGTTCAGAGGTGTAGACTAGAGTATTACTCAACATTAAACAATAGAATGATACGGTCTAGAATGTGCGCGTGGCTACGTCATAAATGTTTCTGGCAGCTGCGGTCACGGCGCGAAATTATTATTAAAATTATCATTTGAAAAATACTTTATATTAAAAAGCTTAACTGACTTTCTATTAAGGCAGTGCAAGTAATCACAACCAGCTGATTCATTTCTACCAGAAAGACTTGGGAGAATTAATACTGTGACAATGAACATTTATTACGAGCTCAGAAAGCAATCAAATTCTTTGGCGTAGGCCCCGTCCGTAACTCGCATTCAGAGGGTAAGAGGGTACGGAATCTGCGTATCCTGCCTGAAGACGAAGGCAGGGGCGCAGCCCACCCCCGGAGTAAGGAAGGATGCCGTCTGATGGTGGTGGGGTGGAAGGAGGAGAGGGCATCCTGGCGTCTTCAGGGTAGAGGGGAGAGCCCGTCTGTAGGTGATGGGAAGTATGGAGGGGAGGACCCGGCATAGAAGATTAGGGAGATGAAGGGAAAATCCCGACTGGTGGTGGATGGGGAGGATGGAGGTGGTTGAAGCGACAGCATCTGCGAACTCAGACATGAGTAAGTACCGCCCTTTTATACTGGCTATTGTTACGGGTGTGGTGCAGGCAGAGGAAGAGGCAGCAGTCAACAGGTCCAATTCAAATATAATTTACTCAAACAAAACAAGGATCACGGGAAACAGCAACACACCATACACAAACGTTACATAAACGTGAACCAACCAGGAGTGAGGGAGAACACAGGGTATACATAGACAGAGAACAGATTAGGGAAACAAGGCACAGCTGGGGCAAATGAACTAGACACAGGTGAATAAACTAAACACTAACGAGGAGCGGGAAACTGGAAACAGGACTGAACCAAATACACAAAGAACGGGGGAAACACAGGACTCAACCAAATCACAATGACGGGGGGAAACACAGGACACACATGTAACATAACGCCCCCTCCAAAAAGGCGCGTCCTCGCGCCGTATAACTTCAATAGGGGTGGGGGGGCGGGCGCCCTGGAGGCTGACGAGGGCGTGGCCTACCCTGAGCAGGAAGCCTCCAGGGCGGAGCAGGACATGCAGGAGGCCAGGGCGGAGCAGGACGTGCAGGAGGCCAGGGCGGAGCAGGACGTGCAGGAGGCCAGGGTGGAGACTTTCCCTCGGGTGGCCAGGGTGGAGACTTTCCCTCGGGTGGCCAGGGTGGAGAGGCCACTTCAGGAGGCCAGGGTGGAGAGGCCACTTCAGGTGGCCAGGGTGGAGAGGCCACTTCAGGTGGCCAGGGTGGAGAGGCCACTTCAGGTGGCCAGGGTGGAGAGGCCACTTCAGGTGGCCAGGGTGGAGAGGCCACTTCAGGTGGCCAGGGTGGAGAGGCCACTTCAGGTGGCCAGGGTGGAGAGGCCACTTCAGGTGGCCAGGGTGGAGAGGCCACTTCAGGTGGCCAGGGTGGAGAGGCCACTTCAGGTGGCCAGGGTGGAGAGGCCACTTCAGGTGGCCAGGGTGGCTTATATCCCCCCCCCAAAATTTTCTTGGGGGGAGTGACGGGTTCAGAGACAGGCTTGGGGGAACTGGACGGGACCAGCGGAGAAGGCACGGGAGGACTGGACGGGACCAGCGGAGAAGGCTCGGGAGGACTGGACGGGACCAGCAGAGAAGGCTCGGGAGGACTGGACGGGACCAGCGGAGAAGGCTCGGGAGGACTGGACGGGACCAGCGGAGAAGGCTCTGGCTCGGCAGACGCGCAGGGAAGCTCCGGCTCGGCAGGCGTGCGGGGAAGCTCCGGCTCGGCAGGCGTGCAGGGAAGCTCCGGCTCGGCAGGCGTGCAGGGAAGCTCTGGCTCGGCAGGCGTGCAGGGAAGCTCAGGCTCGGCAGGCGTGCAGGGAAGCTCAGGCTCGGCAGGGCTGCAGGGAAGCTCAGGCTCGGCAGGGCTGCAGGGAAGCTCAGGCTCGGCAGGGCTGCAGGGAAGCTCAGGCTCGGCAGGGCTGCAGGGAAGCTCAGGCTCGGCAGGGCTGCAGGGAAGCTCAGGCTCGGCAGGGCTGCAGGGAAGCTCAGGCTCGGCAGGGCTGCAGGGAAGCTCAGGCTCGGCAGGGCTGCAGGGAAGCTCAGGCTCGGCAGGGCTGGACGTGACCAGCTGTGCGGGCTTGGCTGGGCTGGACGGAACCAGCGATGAGGGCTTGGCTGGGCTGGACGGAACCAGCGGTGCGGGCTTGGCTGGGCTGGACGGAACCAGTGGTGCGGGCTTGGCTGGGCTGGATGGAACCGGCTGTGAAGGCTCGGCTGGGCTGGACGGAACCAGCGGAGAAGGCTCGGGAGGACTGGATGCATGGGCCAGAACTGATGTGTGTGTAGCCCACACACACAAAATCGCCGTAGACATCACCATCAAAGCAGTCTCCTCTTGAGTGGACTTACGTGTGGTGTGCACAGTCTCTAACGGGCAGGCGACGGGCTCAGGCTCTGGCGGGCAGGCGACGGGCTCAGGCTCTGGCGGGCAGGCGACGGGCTCAGGCTCTGGCGGGCAGGCGACGGGCTCAGGCTCTGGCGGGCAGGCGACGGGCTCAGGCTCTGGCGGGCAGGCGACGTGAAGCTGCGGTGCAGGCTGCTCTGAACGGACGGTCTCTGGCTGGACGGTCTCTGGCTGGACGGATGTTACCGTGAGGGATGAACCACAGACCCAAAGCGCCCTGTCCAGAAACTCCGAGAATGGTAGATGTAGGTCATCGAGCAACAGTATCTGGGCTAAGGGATCATCCAAACCTCTCCAGAACCGCTGTTTAAGGAAATCTTCCTCCCAGTATACGTCCTGGTGCAGGTGAAGATATACCTCTGTGAATTCCTCCAGTGAGGCCCCATTTTGGTCAAAGAGGAAAGCCTCCATCTGGTCGTCCATTTTTGTGGTCGGTTCTTCTGTTACGGGTGTGGTGCAGGCAGAGGAAGAGGCAGCAGTCAACAGGTCCAATTCAAATATAATTTACTCAAACAAAACAAGGATCACGGGAAACAGCAACACACCATACACAAACGTTACATAAACGTGAACCGACCAGGAGTGAGGGAGAACACAGGGTATACATAGACAGAGAACAGATTAGGGAAACAAGGCACAGCTGGGGCAAATGAACTAGACACAGGTGAATAAACTAAACACTAACGAGGAGCGGGAAACTGGAAACAGGACTGAACCAAATACACAAAGAACGGGGGAAACACAGGACTCAACCAAATCACAATGACGGGGGGAAACACAGGACACACATGTAACAGCTATAAGGATATAATTGGATAATAAGAAGGCAATACATGACACGAACGATTGAGTCTTCCTGGCAGAACTTGCGTTGGGCTTCATTTTCTAATAATTATTTTGTGTACATTTGGAATGTGTACAAAGGATTGTAGGTGATTGGAGGATGCGATGGATAGACTTGATGCATCCTTCAAAATAAGCCAAATGAAGGAATGCAGAATAAAGGAATGCCTTCAAAGGATCCTTAAAATTGAGATGGCCTCAAATAGGGTGCTATTTGAGGAGACGGCCAATTGTAGTGGTGTCCGAAACCATAGTGGACATTTTTGAGTGCACTCATACAATCCCACATTGCACCACAATAACGAATGTACAGCCGATGTACGCTCAACAGCTGTCGGAATTCACTCACTCATTTTCATTCACTCCTTCAAGTAAACAGTATTAGTGGACTAACGTAGGGAATAGTGAATGAGGGTTTAGGGGGCGTTTTCGGATTCAGCCAAGCACTCATAAGTTAAGTTAAAGCACCCATAAGATTTTTCAAGTGTGTTTATTAGGGATGGAGATAAACTCTGTAGGACAGTGACCCTCGGGGATCTAAGTTGCCCATCTCTGATGAACACTGTGATTGACAAACTGGAATGACAAAGCGCATTTGAGGACATTCACACAATACACAATCAGATGTCCTCTCACCGTGTATAGTCCAGGCAGAGTGTGGTGAGGTAGCTGATGCCTGAAGCCTTGCCCAATCTTTCCAGAGACCATTCAGTCAGTTTGCAATCAAGCAGTTCTAGTGATCTGAAAGGATAAACTGTCCTCCCTCTTTTCTCCAAAAGAAGACACTGCCAGAACAAACAGATGGGATGGTGAAATGCACAATTTTCCATGTGTTAAATTTACAATCATGGATTTTACAATTACTATTATGTTGCACACACAGAGTCAACTGAACATTACAACAATGCCCTGACAACCACCCATAACACTTTAGCATTGTGATAGTGAGTTTTGCACAGGCAGACAACACTCACTTTTTCTTCAGAATATACAAATTTGGGTAATTTAATCAGTGCTACTTTGTTTCATACTTCTTTTAATATACAACTGATTATTATACAACATAAAGACAACATAATAGCACAATTTCCACCACAGTCCAAGAGATTAAAGGCTGGTTTGTGCACTCACAGACACTGCTAAGCAGTTGGGAAGATGTCACTCAAACTGGTTTACTAAAATAAATAGCTTAGTATAACAGAGATCAAAGCTGCAGTTCTTGACAAAGCTGCTGTGTGTAATCTCTTTCTAACTGCGAGAAAGAGTAATTCCATTGAGATATCATTCTTACCCTACATATAAAGCTCCCCTTGAACATCATTCCATAGATTAGTGATGATCTAAAGCAGAAAAAAATCTCCCAGAATCTCATCAACATCTTAAAAATGAGGACCTCTTATAGAAGTACTTATTGTTATAACCGTCTGACCGGCACATATAAATCTGTGTATGTGCCAAATTTATATGTCAGGGTTGTCCTAACAGCATTTAAGTGCAGAACTTCAATTGCATGCTTCTCCACCATATTGTTTTCCTTACATTCTTTGTCTGCAGGTCTGGAAAAATATGGTAGTGATTTTCGCAGCATCAAAGCTGTTCTGGAAGTAAATCTCACCCTTTAATAGGACAGATTTTTCCGATTTATATGAGCTAAAGTGTGAACATGTTGCTCCTGGAAGGGAATAAAAATGGGTGTGGACCACAGGATAATAAATAGCCATAATATGAAAACATGAAAACATCTAAACTAAGTCTTCAAGTTCTAAGTTGGAACTAAAAATCTAAAGGACAATGACACAGCCTGATCTACATTATATGCTAGGCTATTTTCAGGCCCAAAGCAAGGATGAATAATTGTATGACAATGCATGTTGGCTTCAAACTAAGTGTTTGTTGATAGGACTACATACTGTATCAGTTCTGAATGAAAAAATGTTTGTTTATGATGTGTTGTCATCTCTCAGGTTTCTTTCAAGTTCCTACAGAAGTTACAAGCCTTATATTGCTGGAAAAATAATCAAAAGTTTTGGCAGTAGCCGAGTAAATCCCCTGATTTTAATTAGGCTTTAGCCTCAGAGGTATTGTGGTTCTTGTTGAAAACACAAGCCAGTAGTTGACTGCCAATGGCCTCTCAAACTAGAAAAGCCTCGCCACAATGATAATAAGAACTGTTTTCTAAATCCAAAAGAGAACAGATGTGTCTCTAAAACAAAACAACAGTTAACAATTTCAGTTGCTTCTGGTTCATGCAAAATTTTAATCAAACATGGCAATTTGGTGTGTGGAACACAAAAGGAGACATTTTAAATAATATACTGATTTCTCTTTGCCATGCAGTTGCAATGAAAGGGGACTGGAGCTTGAAAAGGAATGCCATAGCATCACAAAAGTATCATGAAAGTGATACATAAGACTTATATTTAATTCTGTTTAATTTTTCATTGCGAATGTTTCATTTTTCACTTCGATAATGATGTGGAAATGCACAGACAAAAAGAATGTGATTAATGAAAAGGGAGAGAGAGAAAGCAAGTACATGTAACACATAAAGCCAAAATGTTTTGCAACAAAATGCCGAGATGACAGAAAACATTCAGAGTTCTGGAACCTGAAATTGTTGTGTAATTCAAAACTCTTTCCAGAGCTAAACTGATCTGGTGTTAAGATAAAATGTTAACAGTTATGGCTCATTACCATTTACTGCAGAAATAAAAGACATATATCTTACTGTGAGTGATGTGACCAAACAAACTTTTTTTTTTTGCACAGAAAGGTTTGGTTTGAATTGCAGCAGGCTTGGCTTCCCTGGAGGACTCTTTCCCTCTCTTGTGTTGTGGAACAAGCATCCAACAAGACTAAATGATTTCCATAACTGCCAATCACAAAACGTCTCAGGTTACGACTGTAACCCTAGTTCCCTGAGTAGGGAACGAGACGATGCATCAATGACGCTTTGGGAACGCCCCTGCGTGATTGTGTTTGAAGCACATGTGTCAACTAGTCCTATGGCGAGAATGAGCGTCACGGGATAAAAGCAAGGATAAAAGCACATCCGGTCTAGCTTCGAAAAAGGCAGAAGCAAGTCGATCACAGGGATGTAGGTAGTATGGCAAGGTGAAGCATCGTCTCGTTCCCTACTCAGGGAACTAGGGTTACAGTCGCAACCTGAGATGTTCCCTTTCGAGGGAATGCCCGAACGCCATACAGCCAAGAACCTGTCGTGTTAAACTGTCACGACATGAGAACTCTGGACCCCGGGGTATCCATGTCTAGGTCATAAAATCTGACAAACGTAAGCGGCAAAGACCAGTCAGCTGCATCACAAACTTCTTGAATGGACACCCCAGAAATTAGGGCCTTGGAGGCCGCCATACCCCTAGTAGAATGGGCTCTAGTGGCCAAATGTGAAGGCTGGCCCAGAACCTCATATGCAAGAGAGATAGCCTCGACTATCCACTTTCTAACCATCTGCTTGGATGCAGGAAGGCCTTTCTTAGGGGGCCCAAAGCATACCAATAATTGACCAGACTTTCTCCACTGGGCAGATCTGTAGACATAAGTATCCAGTGCTCTGACTGGACAGATGAGGTTCAGTTTCTCCTGGTCTAAATCCTTGAAGGGAGGAGGACAGAACGCCTGCAGTACGATAGGCCGTGGTGCATTGGTTGGAACCTTAGGTACGTAACCGGGTTTAGGATAGAGGAACGCTTTGACCATCCCTGGTGCAAACTCAAGGCATGAAGGAGATACCGACAGGGCCTGGAGATCTCCTGCTCTTTTTAGTGAGGAAATAGCTAGAAGGAACACAGTTTTGAGGGTCAGAATTTTTTCTGAAACAGACTCGAGAGGCTCAAAGGGAGCGACAGATAGACTGATAGACAACCTCGGTTGAGAGACCAGAGTCTATGAGTCGGGCCCCCTCAGAGGCCAGACCCACAGGTTGAATGTTTCTGGGATAGAAGGTTCTTCCTGACCGGCAGCTCCAGAGAAGAGCCGTCGAGAAGGGATATTAGGTTCGAGAACCACACTCGGCTTGGCCAGTACACAGCTACTAACAGAACACTCACTCCATCCTGGCGGACCTTCTCCAGAACTCCTGGGAGCAGAGCGATCGGGGGAAATCCATACGGACGTAGCCTCGGCCAAGTCTGCACCATTGCATCCAGACCCAGTGGGGCTGGATGCGTGAGAGAAAACCAAAGTGGACAGTGCGTTGTATCCTGAGACGCGAACAGATCCACCTGTGCCTGGCCATAAACTCCCCAAATGTGCTCCACCACCTCGGTGTGGAGCCTCCATTCTCCGGCCCTCAGCCCTTGTCTCGACAGGACCTGAACGCAGACCCCCTTGATGATTTATCGGGGAAAACCCCTTGGTCTTGAGCCACCACTAGAGGGGCCTCATGTACAGCAGGCCGAACTGTATAATGTTGGACACGGCTGCCATCAGACCCAACAGCCTTTGAAACTGTTTTACAGTGAGTGACTGGCCTAGCTTTATCTCTTTTACAACTGTGAGGATCGAAGCGACACGCGCAGGCGAATCTCAACCCCAATTTTTTCATATGCGCGAGAATATTTCTTCATATGTCTCGGCAGCAGTGGGGCCCAAGCCACAGGGAACGCTCACTTGAACACCCTCCTCGAAGAGTGACAAGCGAGAGTGGAGCGTGCGAAGCGGCAGCCTCTCACAATGCTCAAAATCAGCCACCTCGAAGGCTGACAGAGCATGCTCCGCTCCCAAACACATCACACAAAGTTCGTGTGTATCTCCACCCGTGATGTAACGAGGGCAAGGAGAAGCACACAACTTGTAAGACTGTTTGGACGCCATAACATCTTAGATTGAGCTGTATATATATATCGTGACAGACAACAATAAATAAAACAGACAGTTTGTAACACAGAGTGCTTGCTGAGGCACAGAAGCTAGCGCGGTTCTAAACCGGATGTGCTTTTATCAGAGGTGGGAGTAAGTCACTAAATGCAAGTCTCAAGTCAAGTCCAAGTCTTAACATTGCAAGTCAAAGTCAAGTCAAGTCATTCTGTTGTAAGGGTCAAGTCAAGTCAAGTCAAGTCAAGTCAAGTCAAGTCATCCTCTTTGTCAAGTCAAGTCAAGTCGCAACTTAGTCATCAAGTCATACCAAGTCGCACACAGGCTAGTTTTACACATTTTTTAACTGTGGGACTTTTATTACTTATTTAGACACAGAGGGCTGATGGGTTACAAAAATAAATAAATTAACTTGTGTGTAATAAATAAATTAGCATTAAGAAGCACTTTAAATGCTCTAAAATAAAAAATAAATTAAATGAACACAAGTAAACAAGAATTAATACAACTTTTCCCATCTTGTAAAAAAAAACTAAAAAGATATTGCATTCTAAATTAGTACTGTATGCCAAAGTTTATGTTCTTACTCTAAACATCCATGTGATTTGATCCCATAACACAAAATATTATATGGAAATTTTAAGAAAACAAATCTGATAATTTAAATGATTTAAACCCGACTTTTTTTAATACGTGGGTCGTTATAACTGACGTTCTCAACTACTTTCTTTATTACTTTCTCCCGCCCGCAACATTTATGTTTTGTCCCGCCCCCGCCCGCAAAAATACTTTTTTTCTGTAGCCTACCTCCAAATACTTTTAAGTTAGCCTACGTGTCGCCACCATACACATGAGCATAAATGCTCCTGATAAATTATTTGTTATTAAAGCATTAACACACAAACCACTGTTAGACATAAAAGCAAGCAGCTCCTGCGTCCATGGTTTGGCATGACTGCGCGCCCTAATTCCTAAAAAGCTGACATCAGTTCATCGCGATCTCACACATCTCTGTTATTATCAATGAAGCTTTCATAATATATACACTTTGTTTGTTATAATTCGAGAATTTGCCAGCATACAGAATTCAGCACTGAACAAAAAGTCCGTTTTGAGCGGTGAGCGAAGTCTATCGTAAATGCTTCTGATTGGCCATTGCGTTCCTAGAAATCAACACATATGTCTGTGATTGGCTACATCGCTCAACGCTGCAAACATGTTAGAAATAGAAACATCTGGCCTGTAAATCGTTTCTATTTTGTTTTAGTTGTTCTTATTGCTTTTCTGCAACAGATGAATAAAAATGTATTAGTTTTTATGTTTTATTCATAGATATTTCTAGTTTGCGGGAGTCCCGCGAATCGTTTTATTCTCCCTCAACCCGCACACACAGAGTGTATTACCGCCCGCGCTCCCTCTTATGACGAATAAAAAATACACAATAATTGAAAAAAAATTTTTTTTCCTCAAGTCATTTCAAGTAAATAGGCACAAGTCCGAGTCAAGTCTAAAGTCACAAGGAGCAAGTCTAAAGTCAAGCCGAGTCTTTTCAGAGATCTAGTCAAGTAAGTCTCAAGTCCAGAAAATTGCGACTCGAGTCTGACTCGAGTCAAGTCATATGACTCGAGTCTCCCACCACTGGCTTTTATCCTTTCCTGGTCATGACATCACCCGCCCGTGAAGCTCATTCTCGCCATTGGACTAGTTGACACATGTGCTTTAGATGCAATCACGCAGGGGCGTTTCCAAAGCGTCTTCGACGCATCGCGAGTTCCCTTGAAAGGGAACTAGGATCTATAGTAAAGTGGGATCAGTGCTCACCAGCTCAACTATATCTTTTTGCTTCAGAGACAGACTCCAGATGTGGAATTCTTGTGCATGTGTGTAACGCTCATTTCGTATAGCCATTAACAGAGGCTGAAGGCTGGGCAGAATAGCGTCTGAGGGCCTGCAATCTGGAAATGACAGCGTTATCTACAAGGAAGGGAGAGGAACAGACAGAAACAGTGAGTGAGAAGGAGATGCATGCAGTAGACATTTTTAACAAAACATTTATATAAAGGAAGTCTGGGAACACATTTAGCATATTTTCTTTACCCTCACCATGTCCCTTTAGGGGCTCCGTAGCCTTTTTTATTTTTTTATTGTGACATACTAAGACACCTGAACTGAATTCCAACTGAATTATTGTAATACAAAAAAAAAAAAACCAACAACATTTCTTATGACTGTAATGAACAAAAAGCAATGTAAAGTAAAACTGTCAGGGTCCTGGCCTGTGCGTATGGTTAAACCTAGTTCTTGTCGTCAATTTGATCGTTTCTAGCTCTAGTGTATCCTTTTGCTTTTTTCAAGTGTATCCTTTTGCTTTTTTTCATGAAGCACTGAGGCTTTCCCGTGAATGTTTCAGGAAAAGATTCGAAGCATCAAGAGTGTCGAAAACAGCGCCATCTTGTGGCAGGTCACATTTATAGCAGCCATGTTTATGAGCAGCTGAGACAGCATCATTGTTTTATCCATTAAGCACAAATTAAATAGCCTGGCTCCGCCCTCCTACGCACTTCCGCTCAATTTCATTTTCCTTCAGTACTACGTCTGGGATTCTGCTGTAGACTTTGGTTTTCTCCGATCAATTTTTTGTAGGGCCAATCAGCGAACAGAGGGAGTGGCTGAGAACGATGACGTTGTGCGTTATTTTGAGTTGTAGTTCAGTAATGGCAGCGGAGAAAGATGCGAGCGAAGCCATTTGGTCCGTTGTAGCAATGCTGCCGAATATTAAGAAGTTAAAGCCGGAGCAAGAACAATCTTTGCTTAGTTTTGTTTTGGCCATGATGTTGTGGCCCTCCTCCCCACGGGGTTCGACATACATCACGAGCAAACGTTAGCGATTGGTGGCAGATCCAAAGTGACTCTGGGCATATCCAATAGTTTTAGACTTCAATAGAGTACCCGCCTACAAGGAAGTTAACGATTGTCAATGGAGCGGTGCCAGACTCTCTGTACAAATGAAATGTACGAGAGTCTGGTAGAACCAGGCTACAAATTAAAGCCTGACAACGCTAAATGTTCAGTTTTCTGATCATATAATTAAAGGCACACCGCGGAACTTTTGGCCACTAGTGGCGCTCGACCTGTAACTTTCACGTCTAGCGTCCCTAGAGGCCACAAGCTCCGCAGCACTGTCGCAAAAGTCAACAAACAGTCAACCGGTCAGCCCATAGACAGTGGGTCAGCCTCCCGTGTCTTTAGATTGTGTGTGCTTGCAGTGTTTGAGGCGGGCAGCCTTGCCGCGCTCGATTCCCTTATAGCAGTCTGCTGAGAGAGAGCGAGCGGGGCGAGCCCCATGGGGCTTAGTGCTAACATGTCTGTGAGTGAATGTGGGCGCGGGACGGCGGGCACATTTACTGCACTAAAAACACCGTCGGCCTGAGCTGACTGTAACTTATGTATGTTGGTTTCGTTTTACAGAAACCGTGGGACATGTTGTGTGTAGCGTTTGTGGGAACGTTCACTACATTTAATGTACATTTGACATGAGTCGACTATTGTGCGAGCCCTGCACTGTGGCGGGCTGTGTTTGTGTGTAGAAATGAACAATGGGCTGTGGGCATTTTATTACACTCATAATACCATCGGCTGTGGCCGGAATACCAGAAAATACTACACTACTTATATGATTTATCTGGGTCACCTTGGAAACGGCATTTGCGTGCAGGCAAGCGTCAGCATCGGTCGGGCACCCCTCCTCCTCCTGTAGCTCACGCCAGCGAGCGAACGCTGGACCAATGGTGATCCTCGTCCTGGCTTTTCATTTGTCACTATGCTTTTTCTTTCTTTTTTTTAGTGTCCTCTGACAAAACCTTTGCCTTCTTCCTTGTAGCTGTTGGTTCGGCCATGACGAAAACATACAGACGGCAATCAAACGCGAGTTGAGCTCTCACGTCAGAATCTGAGGAAGTTGTGGGTGGTGGGGGAAGTGACGTATGCCGTAAAGCGGTTGAATTTTGTAGTTCTTTTTGTGCTCGGGTTCCTACCCGAAACCCGAAGTTACATAGTGCTAGGAAAAGCGATACAGACACCTTCAGGCTACGACAGACGTGTCATTCAACCTATTGTAAGTCGATGTACCATCTCAATGGGTTTTGGTAATATATTATAAAGGTTGAAAAGTTCCACAGTGTGCCTTTAAGATATTAAAGTGTGGCAATAAATTAAAAGTAACAATTATATTAAAACTAATTATAAAAATACCAACAGAGTTGCTTGATGCAAGTAAATGTTGGTCTAATTATTTTATGGTTTCTATGCTGTTTATGTGTCAGAATATATGATCATGTAGCATATAGGCTATAGGCTTATTTATATATTTTTTTTAAATAGTAAATGGACTTAAACTTCCAAAAACATGTAAAGTAGTGGCCTGGAGTGGGGTGAAACATTCCGACATGCAAAGTGAAGCATTCACGTGACTGGAAAGAAAGTGAGGCTTCGTTTTTCGTTGTTTACGTGTTTCTCTGAAAACAATACGCGCTCCGGCACGGAGCTTCATGAGAAATTGCGCAGCGTACTCGATACGCGCTTTGAAGCTTCAGTGTCAAATGTATCACTACAGTCTTGTTCTAGTTAGTTTTTCTCTTTTGTTTTTCTCTTTTGATTTCTACTCTAGATTATCATGTCAGTATCTAGTTTCTAGTTCCCTGTAAGTTTGTTCTTGTTTTACTTTTTAATTGCAAGTTTCAGTCATTTTGTTCCTAGTTTTCTTTTCTTTTCTTTTCTTTTGCTTCTCTAGTCATTGTTCTGTCTCAGTCTTTATTTTTATATTTTATATTTAATTACTGTTCATCTCTTGTTCATTGTGAGTCTTGTTTGTCCCTGCATCCTGAGATTTCCTGGCCACTGACCCTCACTGCCTGGCAGCTAGACTGTGGAAGCAGTCTGATACTCAAGTGTCAAGCCTGGTTCTGGCCTGTCTACAGTCTTGTCAATAAAACATCACTGCTCATTCTGCGTGTGGGTCCTCTCTCTCTTGCAGAACCATTTTACTTTTGGAAATTGGAAAAGAATGCTCCTTTTGTAATAATATTGAGGAGGTGTTTTGTCATTTGTTTTCTGATTGTCTACATTTTGGAAATCCTGTTTTTATTTTAGCATTGTCTTAATCTTTTTTTTTAAAGATAAAATATGAAATAAGTATTTGTTGTTACAAGCATGAAGTCAAAAGTATGGACAATTTTGTAATATTTCTGAATGGAAAATTCTTTCTTTAAAAATCCCCTATAAGGCTTTATAATTAACTTTTTTTTAATGAAGTCGTTATGGCTGTGTAAAATATAAAATGTATGTAGGCCTACTATGGTAAAGTAGGCCTACTATAAATCTGTAATGGTTTTTTTAAACCCCATTTTTGAAGTTACAGACTTTGGTGCCTGTTTTTATGTAAAAATGTTATGTTCTTTAAAAGAGCCTATTAGTTAGACCTGTACAGAGCATGTAGCTGCTATATGAAAGCGAGGCTTATGGAAGCAAATAAGAGACATAACTATTTGAAATTTAACAGCCACTGAATACTTAGTTTTGAAATATTTTATTTTGAAAAACATTTATCTCAATTTATTTCCTCTGAATTCACCCCATTGAAATTATTTTACTTTGGAAACCATGTATCTGAATTTATTTGTTTATTTGTTTTGTTTAAAAACCTGAATATCGATTTTAATATTTTTCAATGCTCACAAATTCAGATACAAAAAAAAAAAAATCAACTTACAGAATTTCAGATAAAATAGATTCAGGTTGATCAAATTCGACTGCTTAAATTCAGATCTCAAATTCAACTGCTCAAATTCAGATCTCAAATTCGACTGCTCAAATTCAGATCGAAAAATTCCAGTTAAATATTCACATGGTAACATCCGGGCTACCCAGGATAGGCCACGCCCACACCGGGGGGAAAGCAATCCAACCGTCTCTATTGATTTGCGTTGCGAGAGGCTGCCTCCTTGTCATTTATGACACAAAAAACAAAACAATGTCTAAAAGCTGTTGTGAGACAAGGTGTACAGCAAACAAGCAAAATAACCCAGAAATTATTTTTTATACGCTGTCGACCCCAAAAACGGTTTGTTTTTCAGGACATAAAAGTGGATCAATTGAGAAAGAGCGCAACTATTTCTCGAACTACTCTGAGAGAACTACGCCCCTCCCCATATAGCACTGTAACGCGACATGATATTGTAAAAAAAAAAAAAAAAAAATCATAGTTTTAACCATGTCGATTGCTTATTTCACCACCCTATGTGAACCTGAGAAGAGGAGATACCCATTCTTCCTGCTGATGCTTCACGTCTTATTGCCTGAAGCCTATCTACTTTTGTCTCATTAAAGGCTGGCTTTACCGGTTCGGAAGCTTATAAAACTGTATTTCTGTTGTGTTTTTTTTTAGCTTATTTGCTGAACACCTTGTCACACAGCAGCTTTTATGCATTTTTCTGTCTTTTGTTATATGTTATTATAAGGAGGCAGCCTCTCGCAATGCAAAGTCAATGGAGACGGTTGGATTGTTCCGCCCCGCTTTGGGCGTGGCTTAAATACGCTCTGTCTCTACACAGGCTCAGCTGTTTTTCCTATCATGGGTAGCCCGGATGTTACCATGTGAATATTTAACTTGAATTTTTCGATCTGAATTTGAGCAGTCGAATTTGAGATCTGAATTTGAGCAGTCGAATTTGAGATCTGAATTTAAGCAGTCGAATTTGATCAACCTGAATCTATTTTATCTGAAATTCTGTAAGTTGATTTTTTTTTATCTGAATTTGTGAGCATTGAAAAATATTAAAATCGAAATTCAAGTTTTTAAACAAAACAAATAAATTCAGATACATGGTTTCCAAAGTAAAATAATTTCAATGGGGTGAATTCAGAGCAAATAAATTCAGATTAAGGTTTTTCAAAATAAAATATTTCAAAACTAAGTATTCAGTGGCTGTTAAATTTCAAATAGTTATGTCTCTTATTTGCTTCCATAGAGGCTGTGAGGAATAGACTTACCGTGTTTTCAATGGCATCCGCTGTAAAAAGCTGTATAAACCTCCTAATTCACTTATAATTTTCCACAGCTCATGTTGTCAGGAGTTTTTGGCTACTAAAATTTATTGGAAATATATTTTTGCAGTGTTTCGTCAGCAGTACACTATATAAAAACACATTAAATAACAGTAACGTTACAAAGATGTTACGTTAGGCCTAAGTTAGATGTCTTTCCCTCGCAGCCTCGCTTTCATTATTACAAATCAAAGATTTTCTAAGTTTATTAACCGTTTCCCTCCGTAAAATACCTTTTTGAGATGTTGCTGTTTGTCGATGTGGTGAAGGATGTCCTGTTTGAGCACTGCACTGGGACAGCTGTCATTCTGCATGCAGTGATGCTCATATCTTGTCCAGAGCGCGCGGAGCTGCAGCACCACTGCATCATCGACGGCACTCGATCTTCCAGAATGAGCCTTTTGCATTATGATTAGAAAATTAATTTATTCAAAGCATTTAATGTGTTAATGTCAAAGTTTTTCCAAAGAGTTAAACGCATTCAAACATATTTATCGGCAGGTTATCAACTTTGTTTTGGAACGTGTCAGCGTTCTCCAGAGCCCTCTGTCTGTTGCCGTAGCAACAGCAAAGCCAAACAACACGCTGCTAGATCCTCCCTCTTACCCTGGCCTGGAAGAAGTCACTCTTTATAATAGGTAAAAAGTTATCTGGTCTGTTGTTCATTTTTTAGATGAGGAAGGTAATTTTATGAATCACAGGACTTTCTGTGAAAAGTATAATTTTTCAATGATCACAATAATGGCACTTTCTGTGATTCTAAATTGAAGCAACAGTAGGCCTACATTTGTTTTTTGACTGTATAATTTGTAGAACCTTTTTGACATGTATGAGTGGCTTAAAATTACACATAATTTGATTTCTTCATTTTCGAAAAATTACATAACTTTTGGTATAATAATGGAAGATGTACACATTCAATTTATACTGAAAAATATTTTCATTTTTGGGAAACAAAACATTTTTTGCCTTAAAACAAATCCATTATTTTCTGTTTTTCAGAAAGAATTTTGGATTTACTGTAAATCGTTAAGAATGTGTAGTGGCAATTTTAATGATATTCATTGATCTTTAGTAAAATATAGATGATTCAAAGAATGTCACATGTGTGTCTCTCACTTGTAGTGAGAGAAGATTCTGTTTATGTACCTGGGGAGGCAGAAGAGGGAGACACTCCAGAGAACAGACGAACAAGGACCTCTGACCTAGATGTCAGAAGGCCACTTAGTGCAGGGGGGCTTATAGGGCCAAATAGTGACGTCTATGGAAAACTACTGGGAGGAAGGCTCTGGGGGGAAGAAGGCCTTGAAACTAAGATAAAAGCTAGTTCAGTCTGTCTGGGGGGGTCACTCTTCTGCACAGGGTAACAACTGTGTATTAGACTGCTCCTATTCTTGCAAGAATAAATACTTCTATTTTATATAATTTGACTCTGAGTGTCTCTTACGCAGTGATGTTTTGCTTGAGATGAATTTTTGCCACAACAGTTTTGGTGTCAGAAGTGACATTCCTTGGACGTGCCTCCTGGACCTGAGATCGGACGGTGTTTGGCCACCTGGACTAAGTAAGTTCCAGCTCTACCTCGTAAACTTGAGAGAGAGGGGCCGACCGATATCAGGGCCGGGAGAATCGACCACTGGAATCTAAAGAACCCGCAGGTGGCAACAGAAGCATCTCTGGTAAGAGACAGTTCAATTTATTTTCTTTTGGGTAAGTTAATTAAATTCAGTTTAATTGGGGAGAAGAGTGAAATTGAACCATATTGGCTGAAGGCTGTTTCTGTGGTACGTAATCTGAGATTAATTGAGATCTATATATAGATCAAGAGATTTCAAACAGATACGAGAGGAAAAAATCTGAGATTAATTGAGGTCTGTAACAGAACAAGAAATTTCAAGCAGATAAATAATCTGGGATTAAGTGAGAACTGTAACAGATCAAGAGATTTCAAACAGATAGGTACCCTGAAAATTAGTTGTTCCACCACGGAGCAAATTGTTTTTGGGTGCTGAGGCTAATTAGGGGGAACCAGAATTTTTTTTGGTAAACCATAATTAGGAGGGCACTAATAGTGCAACCCGACTGATTTGGGTTAAAAGAAAAGAATCAGATTTGTTGGGGACGCCTAACAGATTAAAGAAAACGCGCGTTGAAGAGAAATCCACAGAGAACAGAGAAGCAGCCAGTATGGGGATGTCTCAAAAGCAAGCTTGCGAAATTTGATACACCGGTTTTCTGTAGAACTAGGAAAGTATGGGGGGAAATGTATGTTTTAGGGAAAAAAACTGAGAAAATACCATGATCATGAGCTACCATGAGCACAAATAGACTAAGAGTGTGCGAGAATCAGTGGAACAGGGCAGCGGGACAAAAGGTTGTTGTGGCTGCGTTCAACATGTGTGTAAAAAATGTGAACAGATAATGGATTATTGGCTTGAAGATAAAAATGTCGAACTGCCAGGAGAAAAATGTTTTTTACTTCTTCATCCAGTAAATGGATGCATGACATTAGATGTCTATAGAACTTAAATTTATATGACAAGGATTGAAGTAGCAAGAAGCAATAAGGCTGTCTGTGTGAAATAGAGGGAACTGTAAGTGAGACTTGGTGGAAGAGGGAAGTAAAAAACAAAACAAAAAGGTTGGTGTGTGAGATATGTGTGTGTGGGGATTGTTCAAACAATCATGTACTGGTTAGATAATGAAGGAACTGGCATGTTTGAGAAAAGAAAGGAGAGGATAATGAAGGAACTGGCATGTAGGGAAAAGAAAGGAGAAATATAGTAGAAAACTATATGTGATGAAAATAGAAATGGTCTGATAGAATTTATGGAAGTCAAATTAACTGTTTAAATGATATGAAAAGTTTTAGAATAAAATAAGGCATTGTATGATTGACAGGGATTAACATGATATGAAGAATGTTTTAAGCAGAATGGGGAACAATTCTAGATTTTGATAAAATAATGATTGAAATGATGATATATCTGCTTTATTTTATTAATGTTAAGAAAATAAGGGTATTGAAGCAAGTAGCTATAATGGTTGTCTGTGTAATTTACGGACTGAGTAATATAATCTGTTTTGGAGAAACAGTAGAGATAAGACTGAGACAATAATGTGATGGAAGGAAAAAAGGCTTAAAACCAGTTGTAATGAAAATAATGATGTACAAATTGTTACACTTTATGAAGAGTAACGGAACAGTCCGGGAAAATAAATAAGTAAATAAATAGTGAGACAGAAGAGAGCAAATGCTGTAAACAGCTCTGCTCTGAAGATCTCACTTTGAAGAGATTTGCAGATGATGTTTTGTAAAAGATAAGCTGGGATAACAGCAACAGTGCTTGCTTATTCGCCCGGTTTCCGGATGTTAGACATGTACTTGTAATTAGTGTTGTTGATGATAATACCAAATTAGTAAGGTAAAGACAGAAAACAAATTCGAATATTTTGAGCATTTTCTGTGCTGCTCATGAAATTATGTTCTGCCAATAATAATGATGAAGAGTATGATTTGGCTATTGTGATTGAATCAGCCATTGGTGGATGGTCAAAGGAATACAGAGAACTGCTTATCAGTGGGTCTGTTTACATTCCTGAATGGGACACACTGCTTCAAGGGCGTGTTAAGTTGAAGCCCTTTGGAAGCTCACAGTGATCAAACTGCAAGGTGTCTGATGCTGAAGTTGAGGCTGAAACAAATTCACTAGATGACAGAGAGTGTTTTAATGGTGGTCATCGGGACAATTTAATAGGTAACTGTAAATTTCCACCGAGAAGGTGTTTAAAAATGTGATAAAATGACAACACATTTCTGGTAATAATATTGGTTTGAAAGTAGATCAGTGTTTAAATGACGACAGTGACAATTTTTGGTCTGAGAAATAAGAGATAAAAAACAAGGTCAAAGGATTGAAGTCTTAAAGTGAACCCTTTTGAAGAAAAGATCTATAATACTAATTTTTATAAGTGAATTGTGGAATACAGGTTGATGTAAAATGAATGACTCCAACAAATGTGAGTTGCAGAATATATCAAAGTAACTAAAAGGATGATTGTGTTGCAATTAAAATTTTTAAAAAGATTTTAGATGATATAGAGAGACTAATCTCACAGATGATTTACAATAACTGCAAAAGTATCACAAGCAGAGAGTGCTTGCCTCGTCAAACTTAGTGTGAATCCTAATTGGAGATTGATAAACTCCAAGAGAAATCTTAAGTCAAATATTAAACTATGGTAGAGAACTTGACAATTAAAATTGAGATTGAGAAATGTGAAACGTTATTGAGAACTAGAATAATTATTTTTATGTAAGAACAAATAAGCAGAAGCAGTACTGGATTAACAGTTGCTAAATGCTGATTAAACAAACAGCTTGAAAAGTTGACCATGAAAGAACTAGAAGCTAATGTTTTGCTTTCAAAAGATAAGTTTGTTATGGGCTGTAATGAAACAGCTCGCTTATCTAAAATCTGATGTGTGCTGTGCCTGAAACTGCCAGTGCAACAGACTCAATCTGAGTGGAAATTTGTAATGCCTAAATTTCCTGATGTGTGGGCAAAAGACAAATATAAATAATATGTTTATTTGAAACCGTATGTAATATCTGGCAAAGATGCCTTAAGCTGGGATAGAGTTAAAAGATGATAGATAAATGTTTGATGTTAGAAGTATATGAGAGAGCAGTGTACCATCCAATAGAGTCTCAGAGTCTCTCTCATTCAATGAGTCAGCTAAAAGCTGGTATCTGTGATAATAAGTAAAGCACAGTGTGTCAGTTGAAGAATCATAGACACAGAGATGGTAAAAGAAACCATTTAGAGAGCAATTTGTTTTTAAAAGTAAAACTGAATGACTTTAAAGAAGTATTTAAAATAATAATACAGATAGAGATGACATTTTGATCAGCTTATTTTAGGACCAGTAACTTCTTTGTCTGATTTAGTCTCCACCATTCAGGACCGATGGCTCCGGCTACAGATGAAGTACACTGAATGTACGGTTGTGATCTAAATTCACTGAGTATAATCCAAGTAGCTAGGTTTCTGCTTTTAAGATGGTTAATGGATTTAAGTGATTAAATACTGTTGTTATTAATCTGTCTCCCTATGTGAACACTATTAGGCAATCCGAATGGCTCTGGTGACTCTTGAACGTGCCTTTCCTAAGCTCTAGAAAACAGCTGAGTTCTGTTGAAGCAAACAGCCTGTGATGGGAAAGAGCGGTCACCAGTGTGTACAGTGGCTACTCAATGACGGGTTTGATCTTCCTGGCCAGGGGACAGCCTAACGCAGGGGGTCACGAACATTGGGCACCTCCGGGATGGAGGTGTTATATGTGAGAAAGGTATGAGAGTTGAGCGCTGATTACTGGAGGCCACCGGGGTCAGCAGAGCATTGAGAGGTGAGATGCGCTGTGAGGAACAGTCACGGCGGTCTGACCCAGGAAATGCGAGTTCCTCTATTTACCACTCGCCAGAAGAAACCGCATTCATTGTATGGCTTGTTTTTTTTAGTGTGACAAGCGTCTGCAAATATGCCAGGGGGA